GAGTGGTTGTGAGATACAGTTTGAATGTTTAACATGGCCACAACTACTGTGTACTGGATATGTTGCACATCATGTGCCACTGTTTTAAAGGTGCAGTTTCAAATTTGATTATTAGAAGATTATTATTATTATTCATTAAAACGATACTACAAAGCAAGCCACATAAACAACTTCAGTTATGTATATACATAGATGATTTATTGTTAAAATTTTACATGAAAAAAACAATGGAATTAGTATTGAATACAGGTTTACAGTGACAGTACAATAAATGCAAACAAAACAAAGCTAACTACTAAGCTACGTAATATTTGATTGCATAAAGTTCATCAATATATTGTAAGTCAATCTTAACATTATCAGGCAACTCCCAATATAATTTGCCTATCCCCCACAGTCCAATAATTTTTCAATAGTGGACACTTGACTTGATTTTTTTTAGGTTCGTGTGCAAACAAAAATTACCTATTTTCTCGTCACCACAAAGATATCGCGAACCATGATGCAATTGAATTGTAATTGAAAATTACTTGTGTAAAACTAGGTTAATTAGAACCCAAAGATTTTACTTTAAATTCAATATTAAGTATCAACAATTAAGGAATATTTCTTGAATCAATGAACCCTAATAAACTAAACAAACTGAACATTTAATAGGAATATTCTAGACCTAGTATTTTAAAGACTCAAGGAACAAAATTAGATGTAAGTCTACGGCCAGGCAGGAGGCCGCCGAGGCCTCCTACTAGCCTAGTGCTAGGCCTGGCAGTAGCCTAGTGTAGTTTAATGAAATATCACACAATTTTTACCAGTCTACTGACCAAAATGTCAGTGACTGTATTCCCTCTCGAATGCTTTAAGAAGTGTCTATTTCTTTGACGAATGTCTATCAAAATAGCATTACAAACAAGTTCTTCTGACACAATACAAATTACAATAGAATAGTAATCATATCCGTACTAACAGATTAGTTCTGCTGATGTGTAGTTAACGTGTACTGCAGCAGCACAAATCAGCATACGGGCAGCTAAATGTAAATACGCACACAGTATACTGATCACATCAATATAGCAACCGATGACTGCAACAGTTGGTTATCAAAACCAAAGCAAATTGCCTTGTCAAAACTAACATTAAAAGACGGCGATTGACTTATAAAGCAATTAGTATAGCATGCATAGTACACTAGTGGAAAATTATTATACTTAGGTTAGATTTAATGCATTCAAAAATTTTCTTTGGGCCTTGCAGGCCCATAGGAAATTTTTTTAAGCATTAAATCTAACATTCCTTTAAATTGCTTAGTAGTATTGGTTATTAATACATTTATGAATGAATGCAAACAAAAGCTAAGCTTAAATACTAGATTATATATAAATTAATTTATTAAAAGGATTAATAACAGCCTGGTAACCAACCCCACCCCCCCCCACCTTATGTCTGCCCCTATTCTGCCATTTTAAAACAGATTATTTGGCAGAATCACTTCTATTAGATTCAAATATTGGAAATTATACATCAGGTCCTTGGAAGATAAACCATGAATATATACAAGAATAATTAATGAGTCTGCCTCAATGCATTTTAGTCATTTAATAGATATAAATGTTTGTAGGTATTCATAATATACACTGTGTTGTGTGTTTGTTCATCCTAAAATCCCAAAATGAAAATATACAGTCACTACAAAACGAATCACAAAACTTGCAAAAAAACTACATAGAAATGCTGTACAAAAAGAAACTCCATTGCAGTGGCGGATTCAAGGGGGCCGAGCTGTCCCCGATCCCCCTTTAAAAATTTCAAAATTATAACAAAATTTAGAAAAAAGCAAATTATATAATCAAATTTAGGTATGAGAGTGCCACTTATGGCATCTAGAGGTGATGTAATCATGAATTTTATCACCTCACCCTCAACCATGGTGGAGCTCAGGTGGTTTAGACGACGTTCCGCAAAGATGGTCCGCGAAATATTTTTGGAGGGCTGCGAAACCGTCTCGAAAATTGAAAAAAAAAAATAACAAAGAGACGTTTCATCATGGAGAAAATAGTTTTTAATAATTCCGCTTCATTGTTACAGTGAATGCGTCGCCAGATGATGCGCGCTATTTGAGATAAGCAGTTTTTGTGTATATACCCCCTCGGGAGCTAGACACTATGTTATCGTCTAGTATTAACCCTGTAAGATCGAGTAAATCCGTTATGGAGGAATGATGGGATGAGTCATAAAGCTAAAAATAAAAGTAAATGTAAGACTTGTAAGAGAAAGAACACTACAGTAAACACACATTTCTTGATAACCGAATGCCCATGTGGATACTTTATACAGGTACTGTGTTTAGTAATACTAAACATAGTACCTGTATAGTATAGGTAGTCTTTCAAAGTTGCGGAGTAACAGACTGTGCGTAAAAGTTTGCTTTAAAGTTTTTGGAAGGAGAAAGCTATGCAGGGCCATAGCCACCGGTACTGGTCAGGTTTCAAGCTGACCACATTATGGCAGACCACAATTTAATTAATTAGGTTTTGAATTGGAAAAAGCGGCTAAATTTCACCTGTATGTTTAGACACAACCTACTCTCTCTATGACGTAACCCAGGAACTGTTAATGATAGTTTACATTATTTTCTTCTCTTAAGTGTAAAATTTATAATGATTAAGAAACTAGGATGCATTTTTTCTTCAGTTGAAATTTAGTGTCTAGTGGGCTTACCCACACAGAGTTTACCCTGGCTATCGCACAGATTGGTTACCATGGTGGGAGGGTCATGAGAAGAGAGGGAGCTTGTTTTGTCACTGGAAGACAAATTTTAGATATGTTCAGCTTCTCCTTCGAAAAGTTTTTGTTTTCTAGATTCTTTGAAATATACTTCGTACATTAGGCCAAAAAAAAAATTCTTATGTGGCCCTTAAATCGAAAAAAATCAAGATCGACGGTCGATAATATTGTACAGAGAATTTTGATTGTTTATCAATATCATCATTTTAGATCCAAATCACGTTTTATGCAAGCACCGATGAGGAAAGATTACATAATAGATAACATAATAATTTTGATATGTACATGTTTTATATTATGTGATGATTGGTCTTAGTTAATAATATTACATTTTAATGGCTTAATGTTAATAATATTACAGTTTAATGGCCCCGGAACCCTAAACTCCGACCTGGGGCCCTTGGCGGCCCCCTAGCCCCAATCAACAGTGCTCGCGCTTCTCTCGCAAACTGACCATTTCAGTTCTCATGGCTACGACCCTGACTATGAATGAAAAATATCAGCGCCAACCTTATTAAGCGGTTCCTTGGGCAACTCATGTGGAATCATTGGCTCATGCTGCTTCTTCCTTTTGCATTTTGCAAGTTGCGGAGTAACAGACTGTGCGTAAAAGTTTGCTTTAAAGCTTTTGGAAGGAGAAAGCTATGCAGGGCCATAGCCACCGGTACTGGTCAGGTTTCAAGCTGACCACATTTTGGCAGACCACAATTTAATTAATTAGGTTTTTGAATTGGAAAAAGCGGCTAAATTTCACCTGTATGTTTAGACACAACCTACTCTCTCTTTGATGTAACCCAGGAACTGTTAATGATAGTTTACATTATTTTCTTCTCTTAAGTGTAAAATTTATAATGATTAAGAAACTAGGATGCATTTTTGATATGTACATGTTTTATAATATGTGATGATTGGTCTTAGTTAATAATATTACATTTTAATGGCTTAATGTTAATAATATTACAGTTTAATGGCCCCGGAACCCTGAACTCCGACCTGGGGCCCTTGGCGGCCCCCTAGCCCCAATCAAGAGTGCTCGCGCTTCGCTCACAAACTGACCATTTCAGTTCTCATGGCTACGACCCTGACTATGAATGAAAAATATCAGCGCCAACCTTATTAAGCGGTTCCTTGGGCAACTCATGTGGAATCATTGGCTCATGCTGCTTCTTCCTTTTGCATTTTGCGCATGCAGAACATTTTGATATCAGGGACTCAATATCAGAACTAATACCAGGCCAGTACAACAGCTCTCTGGACTTCTCCATGCCTAAATGACCATCATGAATATGATAAAGCATGAACGCTCGTTGGCTAGCGGGTACTATCAATTTTTGACCCATAAACAAAGTCTGTCGTGCTCTTAGATTTTATCGCGCATCGGCCGCAGAACTTTCTTATTTCAACTGGTACTAGCTTTCGACGATCGGGCCAGCCAATATAACACTGTTTAGATAGTTGCTGTAAAGTATCATCTGCAACAGTGGCTTGTCGGGTTTCCTCTATTCTAGGATTGCTCATGCTCAATAGCTCATCTACTGAATGGACACGGTACTGCAACGTCTCATGCTGCGGTTCTTCCATGCTATCTGGTACTTCTCTGCATAGCGCGTCTACAATATACATTTCTTCTCCGGGAACGTACGTAACGTCAATGTCATATTTCAGCAGTCGTAGCATCATCTGCTGAAGTCTCGGACTCGCTTTATGAATTGGCTTTCGAGTGATCGACTCGAGTGGCTTGTGGGCGAATTGAACCATCACCTTGCATCCATTTGTTGAGCAAAAAACAGATAGCTAACATTTCTTTATCGATTTGAGAATAATTTTTCTCGGCTGACGAACTATAGCGTATGGGGTGGCTGTCTTGCATTAAAACACTCCCAAGTCCAAATGAAGACTCGTCGCACTGAATCACAAAATCTTTGTGCGGATCAAAGTATTTCAGCACAGACTCAGAGCTTAACAAACTTCTCAGACAACTCAGCGACTCTTCATGACGCGCTTCCTATGACCATAGGACCTCTTTCTGGAGTAACTCTCTCATTGGAGCACTGATTGTTGACATGTTCGGAATGAACGGTGCCAAGTAATTAATCATTCCCATTAAACGTCGCAAGTCAGACTTATTAGTGTGTGTAGGCATATCATAAATAGATTTCACTTTGGAATTATCAGGCTTAATGCCATCTCTACCAATAATGTTGCCTAAGTATACTAGTTCATGTATCCGTATTAAATTTCACATTTTCATGTTTAGCACGTTTCATAACTTTAACTATTACAGAGTCATGAAGAGCTTCATTATCATCAGTAGCAATTATCATATCATCTGAGATTACAAACACATTCTCAAGATCACCAAATATCTGTTCATTACGTTTCTGAACAACTTCACTTGCACTACATAATCCAAATGGTAAACGATTAAATGAATATCTACCAAATGGTGTGTTAAAAGTACACAATTTACTACTTGATTCAGTCAATGGCACTTGCCAGTATGCATCTTTCATGTCAATATGGGTAAATAATTTCTTTCCCGATAATTTAATACTCAACACATCCTCAATAGTTGGAATCATGTGATGCTCTCTCTTAATTACTCTATTTAAATCCTTAGGATCGAGACAAAGTCTCAGAGAGCCAATTTTCTTTTCCACAACAACAAGACTACCCAATCAGTGGGCTAGGCTTGTCAGTTTTAGAAATTAACCTTGTTGCTCCATATCACCGAGCTTTGCCATAAGTTTTTCTTTACACTTAGGGGAACCCTCCTCGGCAGATGTACAACAGGGGTAGCACCATCCTTTAATTGAATTTTCCAAGGCCTTCAAAGTTATCAGAGTACTGTGACAATAGGTTGTCAAATTTAATGGAATCAACATTACGAAATATTCTTCCCAATTCAGTATGAATTGGATGGAGGCCTTATGATCAAAAGTTCTTGCCAGGATTTAGTATGTTGGTCCCTGACACGGCTGGGCTGCTAGGCTTATTGCCTGGAATCGTAAATAGGCCATGAAGTAAAAAGTTTGCGAAACGCTGGTTTAGACATACAGTATCTGAAAAATTCCCTTCCTGGGCCCCCTCTATATCGAATTTCTGAATCCATTGCATTGGATGGAAAATTACAATTTTAAACATAGCACTAAAAAGGTAGGAAAAGACAATGAATCATCAAACTTGCCAAAAAAAAAACCATAAAACTTTAAAAAATATGAACATTCATAAGCAATACAGTACAAAAATAGATTGAAAGTGTGTAAATCAAATTTTAACGCCACAGTATTAATATTCATTCTTTTAACTCTATATGGATATCACTAGATTAATAGTTTAATATCCATAACTTCAACTTTTTGTGGATATCACAGTATTTGATAACTAAATATTTTAACAGTTTAATAACCATAATTTCAACTCTATATGGATGATATGAAATAATGGATGTAGACAGTCATACACTGTACTCATAAATTTAACTTGAAAACACACAAAAAGTGAAACAAGTAGACTGCCAATATTTAATAATTGAATATTTTTACTGTTTTGTCACCGTTATTTGCTACTGCAAGTCTCCTCGGATGATAAGAAATGATGGATAATCCCTTTGGATTGTTGATTCCATCTTCTGGTTTATCAATTCTTTCAATAAAATTTCCATCACTACTGAATAGCTGTAGTTTGTTTTTACTTGATACAATTATGTTGTCATCCTCATCAACTACTACTCCACATGGATTCCTCACTTTACCATTCTCATCACCTGCTTCAACAAGGACTTTCATGAACCTTCCCTCATTGTCAAATAATTGTAATCTATTGTTGCCAAACTCCAATACAAGAAGGTGTCCTTGGTTTGTAAGAGTAACATCAATGACATCACTCATTTGCCCTTTGTTTGTACCCTTTGACCCTATCTTTTTGATGGTCTTGCCACTATTCATGTCAAGCATGTACACACAGCTGAACCAACCTCCTGCTACATACAAAACATTAGATGTCTCATCCACATGAATACCACATGATGCACTCAGTACTCCTTCACCAATTGTTTTTATCACCTGACCATTCATATTGCATATTCTGATAGGATTGTAAATAATAATATCACTGAATGCTATGTTGCCATTTTTCATTTTGTACATACTGTGAACGTCCACACCTTGTGGTAGTGTAATCTTACCAATATATTCTCCTGATTGCTTGTACTTGAGAATTTCATTTGTCAGACTTGAAACCAATAAGCAGTCATCCTCATACGTAAGTACATCTCTAACACTTGCTTTTTTTATTTGAATAGTGTTTAATAATCTTCCCTTTTCTACTTTCATTATCATTGGTGATTGTTTAATTGGTTCACCATTAGCACTCACATCCAGTTTACAAACTCCTTGACTTGTGCATTTTCCTGTCACAAAGTAATCTCCATTGTCATCTTCCTGAATTTGAGAGATATTGGTTTCCCCTGTAGGATGTATCCACATTGCTTTCATTTGATTTGCATTTATTTTACATTTATCTGCTTTGATTATTTTTACAAAAATTTCCTGACCTTGGATCACAGATTCCTGTCCCTTTAATGTTAAACAGTCTGCTGCCCTTAATTGTTGTGTTACAGTCCCAATACCACATTGTTTCAATGAAGCCATTTGTTGTTTGTTTACAAAGAAATAAATTTGTCCATTATTAATTGGCTCTGTTTTTGGCATTTCATTGATTCTTACCTTCAGTGATGTAATTACTCTTTCACTTGCCTGCATTGCGATGCTTTTATCACTCTTCAATAATTGATTAAGAAAAGACCGTTTAGTATTTACGTCAGATATTATTGTTTTTAGTTCATCCATTTGTACATCATTTACTTTATTCTGTCTTTTGTAGATTGTCTCTACTTCATTTTTCATTTTGTCTCTATTCTCCTTTACTTTTTTGAATATTTCTTCTGCATGATTGTCAATATCTCTTAAACATGTGTCTTTATTTTGTTTTAATTTTGTAGCATTGTGGATAACAGCTTTGAGACCATCTTCTAATTTGTTTATGAAGTGTTGTGAAGATTTTTCCAAGGCGACTGAAGTTTCTTTAAATGTTTGGAATGCATCTGAAATGCTGATCGGTTTGTGTTTTCCTTCCAATTCATTGGGGGCCACAATTGTACAATTCACACAGATTGGAGTTTTACAATCTGTGCAATAGAACTCTAAAGGTTTACTGTGATGTGAACACTGAGGCGGATGTAACAAAGTCATCTCAGAGGGACTCATTGATTGCACATCCTCCATTAAATGTAACTTGTGATTTACCATAACTTGAAACTTCTTATGTTGATCACTACAAGTAGAGCACAAGTACTGTCTGCAATCCTGGCAGTAGTATTTTACCTGTCCTTCCTTTTTACAAACACTACATTTCAACTTATCACTCTCTGAAAACTGTTTGATAGTTTCCAATAAGTTATTTAGAAAGGTATTTGGCTGAAGCTTTTGAGGCCCTCCCTCTGGAATGGGATATGATTTTGAGCAAACTGGGCAAGTCAACTTGCCCTTAATCTTAACCCAGTCTTCCAGACATGCCAAACAGAAACTATGGAGGC